CAAAGTCGTCATGATTCGTCGCGCAAGTTGTTATCCTTCGTCGCGCAAAGTGGCTTTGTGCGACGAATAATTTTGGCCGTCACGCAAACCCTTTCTCCATGAGTTTTGCGCCACAGAACTTGCGCGACCAAAATTTCGTCGCGCAAAGTTTGCGCGACGAAATTTTCCTTTGCGCGACCAAAAATCATTCGTCGCGCAAAGTGGTTTTTGTAGTAGTGTAGCGGGAACACATAGAACATCAGTAAGTTTCAAAAGACCAATATTAGTTTGACCAATATGACTTATTGAGAGACGAGTGCCATTACCCACAATAATGGAGTCATTACCTGTATACGGTTTCACGAAGGAGAGTTAAGAAGGACTGGACACCATATAATGGGTTGCCCCGAAGTCAACATTGTAAGTGTGTGCATTTTGTGATTTTCTGTTGGCTTCCCTTGACAATTTTGTAATAGGACAATCATTGTATTTTCCCAAGCTCTAATTTAGATTACAATTTCTTTTCTAGGTGTTCTTATCATGCTACAATTTGAGGGATAATCAATGTGTTTGACAAAGGTAATTTCTGCATTGCATCATATTGCATTCACTAAATTTCTTAAGATTATGACTAGTCATCCTTTGCATCAGTAGGATTTCCAACTCCTTGGTTTCCAACTGGATCCTACCCAACTTTTTTGCCCTATTATGCTAATTCTCTTTGCTGCCATGTTTACTTTCTGACCTATAGGAATTTTTGGGTAAAAGCCAAAGAATTCCTCATTTGGCAGCCATCTCTTTTGCATATGAAGTTTTGGGAAGTTTTCTTTGTAACCTTCTCTTCTTCTTTCTCAAGAGAAAACCATCACATTTTTCATCTATAAGTTTTCCTAATTGATTTTTCAAAAACTGCTTTTGAAATATGAAATCTGCATCAAGCTAGATCAAACACTCTCTCATATATATCTAGGTCAGATTCAAGATTGATTTCTTTAAGAGTATGGTTTCTTGAAGAAATTGGTCATTTTTCCTTTGAATCCAAATTTTGGTTTTTGTCTGAGTTTGAGCTGGCTAGCTGGTGCCATGGGATAAAAGAGCTGAAGAATGAGCTGTCATTTCCATGAAGGACTAAGTTGTTGGTTTTGCTAAGTTAGAAAAAAAAAGATAGTACAAAGGAGGTATAGCTCATCTTCCTAAATAGACCTAGGATTTCTTGAGCTTGCTTGTGTTTCTTTGTAAGAATGTTTTGGATTGTCTGGTCAGTTGATGACCTCCAGTTTTTCCCAGTGGTGGGTTTCTGGGTGAACAATTTCTGGTTTGCATCTCTGTAATTTTCTAGGTTTGTGTTCTTGATAATTGATTAGTCATCGCATGATGTTCATGTATTTCTGGGTTTTTCTTCTTGCGGTTGACTAGTCATCACATGATGTTCAAACTACCCTTAAATACACCCCAAACTAAAAAAATGAGAAATAAAAGAGATTTTCTATTTAAACCCCACAATTTTCTTTGTTCCCAGCAAAAAAAACACAAACAAATGGAACCCCAAACTCGAAATTTAATACTTTCTAGAGAAATAGAACAACTTTACCTCTCTCCAAGAACTGTAACTGGAATTCCAACACTTGAGAGAGAGAGAGAGAGAGAGAGAGAGAGAGAGAG